AGTGTGTCAGTCTCTGTATTCAGGAATTTCCTAACAATACGGCATGTATTCAATATATGGCCTTCTGTAGTGTTATGTATGTATTTCTATTCAATTGTAATGTTCCCAGGTATTTATGTAGTGTGTGTGGTATCACATCTGTAGAGGAGAGAACGACAGGTACAATAAGCACCCTATCCATCCTCCACAGATGCCTTATTTCCTGGGCGAGTTCTGTGTACTTGCTAATTTTTTCGGTGCATGTGTTTTGTACATTGTGAGTGTTTGGAATGGCTATGTCTATAATGTATGTGATTTTATTGTGTTTGTCAATGAGTGTGATGTCTGGTCTGTTGTGGTAAATTGTTTTATCTGTGATTATGACTCTGTCATAATACGTTTTGTGCATGTTGTTTTCCAATACTGTCTGTGAAATGTGTTTGTAGTATAGATGTCTAATAATTTGTGTTTCTTTGCAAGCTCTTGGTGATCACTGTCATACCATGCTTCAGCCAATGGTGCTTTGCATATCTTTAGTCGCATGATTTTCTCGCTGTTCATCTATGTATCTGTAATCTGTGGAACTGGCAGCATGGCATTACTTTGCAACAAACTGTTCTTTGACTTTGGTGATTTTTCTTGTGTTGTGCATTATTTCTTCTGTTTTTTTTTGTTTTTTTTTTATTTTATAAGCTATCATGGGATCTAAGAATGCTAGTGTAAGCATAAAGAAAATGAGTGAAAATAACAAGAGAGGTGAAGAAGATCATCATAAAGAACCATAAAAATGGTGTTTGCATCTTTGATGTGGCTTTGCAGTTTGACTTAGGAAAGTCGTCAATCTGTACTATTCTCAAGAACAAGGAAGCAATAAAGGATGCTAATGTTGCCAAAGGAGTCACTATGATTACAAAGCAAAGATTGCAGATGTTAGAAGTGGAAAAGTTGCTCGTGGTTTGATTCAATGAAAAGCAGTTGGCCAGCAACAGTATTTTGGAGACTATCATTTGTGAGTAAGCAAGGTTTTTGCACCAAAATTTTCTCAAGAAAACACCAGGTTCAAGTTTTGAGACTGATGTGTTTAAGGCTAGTCAAGGCTGGTTTAGAAAGTGTAAGAAGTGAAACAGCATACACAGCTTGATTTGGCATGGAAAGGCTTCAAGTGTGAACAAAAAATATGCAGAAAAGTTTGTGAAAGAATTTGGTGTAAGTGCTGATGGTTTTATCCCCCAGCAAGTGTTTAATTGTGATGAAACTGACTGTTTTGAAAAAAATGCCAAACAGTACATAACTCAGGAGGAAAAGGTTTTTCCTGGACACAAGCAATGTTCCCTCTAGGCTGTGCAGGTGAGCATGCACACCGATTTGAATTGTTGTTTACTTATTTCGCACTCTGTCGCCAACATGATTACCGCTACATATATTTTGATTAAATACATTAAATCATTGACAAAAGATAATATTTTGTATAAAAGTATGTTTTAAAATGAATTTCAATCTGTACTTTATAATTAATTATTTTAATTTTTATAGGAAAAAATAAGATTTTATATATATACTCAGAGAAGTATATGTTCCACTCATCTACAAAAAAATTATAGGGAACATTGCTGATGGCAATGAAGGCGGTCATCTCCAACTCTATGAAGGCCATCCTAACAGAGTCATGGTTTAAATGCTTTATTCGTGGATGTTTTTCTGTCAAGTGTGGAACTACCTGTTGAAAGATGTTTCTTTTCATCATTAGAAATTTTGGAAAGGGAAAAGGTTATGTTCTAATTATTTGTATACCAGCGCCTTTTCAAAGGTCCATCTCAACTGGAGGACGTTCATTTGCAATTATTAATCATTATAATTATTGCGTTCTGTTTACATCAATAGCATTTTTTTCTCGTAGCAGTTTCATATACGACTAGCACAACTAATCCGATCTTTGATCGGTTTTTAACAATGGACGATTTTTCTAGTTTCGTTTTACCAAATTACTATAATAAATGTTTAATTCCAACCCATTCTTGGAACTTCACACAAGTTTGTGGAACAATTTTTGCTATTGTTTGTCGTCCAACTCTAAAGGCAAATGACAAACTTCTATAAGCTTTTCCTGATGCTAAAAATCTGGAAATATACATGAAAAAATGAACCTTTTAAACCAATTAAAACAGATTAAGCTAGTCAGTCATCAGCTTATAATCACATATAATTTACTTTAAAGTTATTCCTAAGCGTTCTCTGGCTGAAATTGCTTCTCTGAAACGTGTATTTTATTTGCTTATATGATTTTCTACTCGTTGTAATAACACTTCAAAAAAGTCAGGTGTGATTCTTAAAAAACTGTCAACAAAATTTACATTACTAATAACGAAAACTTTTATGCATTTTAAGATTTTGCGATAATCTTGATTTACTATTTACTCATAATAATAATTCTGGTCTTGAAAACGAAGTTCACGCATAAGTGTATTATGATAACCGAAGGAATTTGTATTCCGCAACAAAGGACTCACCCAAAAACGATGCTTGCGTTGTTTTCGTTTTATTAGTGCAGAAACAACAAAAATTATCCAGCAAAAAGCTGAAACATCATATCAGCTTGTATCTGATCCATTTAAAGTATTTTATGAACTCTGATAGTTATGAACAGTGAAGCTACGATGCTTTCGTTTTCACCAATTCGCGCAAGAAAAAGTATTTACTTTCGACACTTGGGGCAGCATCGTCGCCGTAAAAACTTCGCTAGCCGGACTTTAACCGCAATCCGGACGCAAACGCAAATAGACCACGTGATTAAACGTTTTTACGGCGAAGGTTTTTGCGCGGGTTTTTACACTAGTGGAGTCTTGGCTTAAGTAATAAAATATTCCCAAATAAAAGTAGTAGGGATGAATGGAGTAATTGTAAATATCCTTAGTTTTTGGACTTAGGACTTAACATGTTTGTGAGGCAGAGTATATTGGAGATGAAAAAAATGCATAATATTTGGCAGTTTTATTTCACCAAGCAAATGAAAAGTAGACTAACCATATTACCTTTCAATAGTATTCCTATGTGAGAGATATCTCCCATGCCTTTCCATTGAACTACACTGTAATTTGCAGAATGCAGTGCATATTTATAGTTTTTCATATTTCTATCTTGTAGTGCAANTTTATATATATATATATGCTCAGAAAATTTTTTTTCTCAATCTGTTCAGCAAAAATTTTTTCGCTCAAAGAAGTATATGTTCCACTTATCTGCAAAAAAAATTAGAGGGAACATTGGACACAAGCCAATGAAAGACAGGCTAACTCTTTTGCTTTGTGGCAATGATATTGGTGATTTTAAGGTGAAACCATTGCTTGTATATCATTTGGAGAACTCCGTGTGTTTAAGAGAAATAACGTTATGAAAAGATTGAGTGATTTTTTTTTAAGAATATTTTTAGGAAAATATATTTTAAAAAAAGAAATAGTCTAATTGTAAGAAATAATTTTAAAATAAATTTTAACTGTTAAGCAAAAAGGGTATAATTTGAGGTTATGGTGAAGAAAAGCAAGTAACTAACTTAGAGTATATGGACTCCTAAAAGAGTATATCTAGTCACAGTAATTAATTTATTTTTTAAACTATAGTAATATTGTATATGCTTCACTAGTTGGGTAAATATTTTCATCCTTCTATTCATAGTGTGTGCTCAACCAGATGTTCTCGTAAACAGTTCTGTATACATCTGGAATGCAAGAACTCAAAATAATTTACAAGATTTTCTGAATTATCTATAAAGTTTTCTGTTAATATAAAATAAATTTATGTTTATTGAATTGCACTACAATATAATGTTATAATACTCTGTGATTTTTATACACTTTTTTAAATTAAGATTATTCATGAAATTTATTTCTTCAACACTTTTAAAATATCTATATTCGAAAAACTGATAAAGTTCTAAATCTATGTTACTTTTGATTTAATAGTTTTGGATTATGTTAATTTTTTTATTGATGAAATATAAGTATTTCGAAAGAGTTTTAGAAAATTTCATAAATGACTTCTTGAGTAATGCAAAAAGTATTTTATAATTTATCAGACAAATTTAATAATATGAAATATAAAGAAGTTGACAAAAAATTTTACATTTAATGTTAAATACATACAAAATATTTATATAATAAATTAAACATTTTAAGAAAGGTTTCAAAATATTAAACTTATAAAAGAAATTAAATTTAGAACATGAAATTTTTAATCTTTTATATTTATTTAATTAGTTAATAGATTTCTCTATCAATATATCAGTGCAGTTTTCACTTTAATCCAATTTCCTCTTATTCTATGTGCAAAGAGTGTTTTTTCTACAGTGCAATAAATTGACTGATATAAACAAAACCCTGAGATTAAAATATCAGTTTAAACATCTTATATATACATTTTTTTTTCAATGATGATGTAAGAGAAGTTAATGTTACAAAATCATTTTCTTATTCATTTATAATTTATTGTAATATTTTTATAAGCTTAATTACAGTGTGCTGTATGTATGTTTGTGTATATACTGTATATGTTGGGTTGTTAGGAAAGTAGGAAAAATATTTTCTTATAATATATAAATATTTTATCAAATTATATAGATATGAATTATAGAGATAGAAAACACTTTTTCTAGTGAATGAATTCCTTCAAGTCTTGAATGAATTCATTTCAATTTTACAATAAAATGGTAAATAACTCACTAGTATACAAGTTTGCTGAAATAACAAAATGATTTAAACATAAGTCATAACATTTTAAGCACCAAAAGTCATGTGGCTAGCACTCTGGCACTTAAAATGTTATGGTTTGCACACAAAAAAATCCAGCAATTAAATTTAATAATATAATAATGTTTTCGATCAGCTTAACTGACCTTCATCAGGTATGTTTTTTTTTTGTCATCTATCTATCCATTTAATGCAAAATATATTGATATGGTCTGCACATAAATTCAACTTCAAAATACAGCCAGTTACAGTGCCACTATTGCCACAATATTTTTTTTGCAGCAGAAAATATTGCATTTAGAATTCATTTCTTTAATAAATATATTCAGAGAAAAATGACATTTACAACATTATGGTATTGTATGCTTCATAATGAAGATTGAGTCAAATTGGATGTAAGTGAGTAAAAGCTATTACAGTAATTTTATCATTAAGAATTATTAATTGAATTGCTTTTTTTTATAGAAATTAAAAGTTTGATAACAAATTAAATACCAAGTTATTGCATTATCAATGATCTTTAATTAATTAATAATAATAATCTGTTTAGCAGATAAATTATTATTAGTTTACATATAATAACAAGCCCAATTTAGAGAAAAAATTTCTGTTTTATTCTAATTGTTCTGAAATTTAATTTTGAATTTGCTCTGATGTACTGTACCACGTATGTATTCTATGCTATATTATTAAAAATTGTTAAATGGAAGATTTTAAGCTGAAGATGGCCAGATCTTGACCAAAAACATTTTTTTGTGGAAATAAAAATTAATGAACATAGACAAAATTTTCATTGTTATTTTAATCACTATTAGTTATTAATACTGTTAATAGTACTTCTAATTAAAAATTAATCATTGTAATTATTAATGATTAATCAATTTGAATATATAAAATAACTATTTTAATGTTTTTCAATTTTTATATTACATCTGTAATTGTAATATTTGTTTTAATACTTAAAAATATTGAATTTTTTCTAGCAATCTTCAAAATGAATTCATTATTATGCTATATATGCATAAAGGATTTAAATGTGTCTAATGAAACATTCCATGTGAACTGTGCAAACCTCTGTGTCCGACCCCTTCCAATTTCGTTCAAACTTCACATAGTTTAGTCTTGAACTAAAATCTACAAATAACTCCCAGACACTTTGCATACTTATTCCAGCAAGTACATTTATTGAAAAAGTAAATGTTTTGATTACTTTTAGGGATTTTTTTCAGGTTATCATTCATTCTACAAATCAAATGCATTAATTGAAATTCTAAAAAGAACATTCTATACATAATATGACAGTGTTCAAATTTAAACATAATATCTGTACAAAACTTCCAATATTACTACAGTAAATAGGCTAGAAGAATTATATGTTGTAACATTAGTTAATAAATAGATTGTGGAAATGATTTACACAAATATGCTAAAGTTTGCCTACAGTAGAAGGTTACAAATCATTGATTGCCACACTTGTGATAGGTTAATGCAGGGGTGGCCAACAGTTTTTCCCCCGGGCCGAATTGGAAAGAAAACTTTTTTCACTGGCAGAACCAGAGGCTGCCCTAGGAAGATTTTGAGGTGGTGTGAGATCTCATTGCAGTATCACCCCGTAGAGACTAAATTGTGCATAGAGATTACAGATACATTTTTCACATTATCATGCATTATCAATATTCTATGCTGAACTGAAGAGATTTGTAATGGAGGGTTAACTCTAAATGCGCAGTGAGTAGTTGGCCTAGTAGGCATCAGAATTTTTCATTGAGCCATTCGGACTTGAGTAGCTAATATTGAAGGAAGGCCGTATGTTGGTCATGCCTGGGTTAATGCATTCTTTGCTATTAACTCTCGAGTGTTGCTTTATAAATTTTGATGACTTCTATTATTCTAAGCTTGTATATTGAATATATCAAAGATTCTTTGATATATTCAAAGGTAATGAATGACTTTAGAAAGAGCTTAGAATTCTCACAACACAAGGACACACTCAATCCTGAACTCTGCCATATTTTATTTATTTCTAATCTGTTATTTATGTTAATTTTGTTTTCTGTATTTATAATTTTGATGTGTTTTTTTTTTTTATTATCTTTATATTTTTGATATCCATCTTGTGTCTTGTAGTATTGCAGAGTTTACATAATTGTATTTGCATATATGTGTTTTTAAAATAATATATACTTTTAAAGTTTTTGTAATATATTTTATGTTTATTGGTGTATTTGATTGGAAATATACTATTTTATCTATGTTGGGTTTGTTATACTTTTTTAATAATTAGATTATCCTGTTTTCATTATAGCAATGTTTAAAAAAATTTTTTTCTTTCTTTCTTTTTTCTACTTTAAATCATGTGTTTTTATTTATTCTATTCAATTGGTGCTAAATGGATTGTTTACCTATGATATTGCTGTCAAATACTATGAATCCATTGTGAACACAATTCTATATAAAATAATGCCTGTAATGTTTATTACTTCTTTGTCAATTTTGATCATTACTAGTTTGCTAATTTATGACTATGACAAAATAAGCAATTACCCACAAACCAGCAATTAATTTGTTTTAACTAATTGTAAAACAAACATTTTCATCTGCATTATATTGTATGCAAGATATGTGGATGATGTCTTGACTATTTGGAGAGAAAAACTGAACTTGTCTGTGTTCATCAAGGCTTTCAACGATAATGCTCTCGTTGCTGGCAGAACAACAAAACTGCACCAGCGTACACTTTCTGGACATATACATTGCATTACAACATGGCCAGTTGAGAACAAAGGTGTTCCATAAGACCTCAAATGCTCCACTCTTCATCCCATACAAAATCACATGATTCTTTTAATTATAAGATCTCCACTTTTAAGGCCCTTGTAAGAAGGGCTTACATTCATTGTTTGAAGGCGAAGGATAGAAAAATGGAACTGGAGTACATTTTAAGCATAGCTAGGCAATGTGGATACCCTGCACACCTTATTAATGCTCTTGTTGCATGCCAGGAACAACCAGTGGAAACATTACTATTGAGAGACGAGTCCTTTCTATCTGTTACTTACAATAAGGTCCTTACAAACATCTACAAAGAAATATCCCACTTTACAAGTAACAGGATCACTTACAGGAAATCTCCGACAGTTTTCTCTAGTACAGCAATACCCCAAACTTACGCGATAGGTGGGACCGAGCGATAACTGCGTAACTCGAATTTGTGTAAGTCGGGTAAAATTACGCAATTTGTGTAAAATCCAAGTCAGATGCGTGTAAGCTAATAAATGTGCTCGTTAATCTTATCTCGTCTTTTGATTCGTTCACAGCTACAAGAAATCACCACATAAAGTCTCTCAAGGCTCCATAGATATAACAAACACAGAAAAAAATAACACAAAATAAGTTGTAGCTATGTGTCAATTCCACGCGACACGTCTGAGCATGTAAGCTGAACAATAGTGTGGGGGGAGTGAGTAATCAAGGGTTGTTTGGTGCTCAAACAAAAGACGAATCGATGAGATTTGAAAATCGCATAAGTTGAGGTATTACTGTATTAGAAATGATGAAGACCAATTGGACTGAAATTATATCTCGGAGATCTATACTATCCCTATTAATGATCATAGAGTGAACCATCCTGGTGAATATATTGGTGTTACCACATGTGGTCTAAAAATGAGGATCACAGAGCATAAATACACCATTCAAAAAGGTCTAGCCACTACAGCAATGGCTGCTTTTGCCATTGATAATGATGTTCGTGTTCACTTTGACAATGCCCAATTACTGCAACATTGCGAGAACCCTGCCACCCTGAAATATCTCGAACAACTGGAGATATTTAAAGCATTTAAGAGGGAAATAGCAACTAATTTTAAAGACATGGACTCATTAGCAGCTGCCTGGAGTATATTTAATATTTTATAGAATTATGATTGATGTAAATAATAAAATTCCAGATTTGTATTTTCAGTTGATGATTGTTGTAAAATTTGAAAATGTATAAAATTGTAGTACTTGCTACCTGTAGATTGCAGAGCTCGACAAGGGGTGAATTGCACCCAAAATGCACGGTTGTAATTATATTGCATTTTATCCGATGTATATCTTTGATCTGTAATTGGCAGATGATGCTATCAACTTGAATAAAAATTTCCTTGAATAAAAAAGCTATTCTATAGTCATCTTTAGACTGAAAAAAAGGACTGTTCCTCATTGTGTTTAAAATCAGTTTACACACAATAAATACTTCCCAGCATTCAAAAACAGAAGAATAAGAAGTCTGCTACAAAATTAGATCTTGAAAAAATTAATTTTGCAATTTTTAAATTGAACAATGTTTAGATGAATGAAATTTTTGTTTGTGCTACAACTTTTTTAAATTTTGATATGTGGTGATTACTATTGGAAGATCAGTGATAAAAATTCACAAATTGTATAATGTTTATAAGTTGAAGTATGAAATATATTTGTACTTCTGAACTTTGATCACTACACTTACATTTAGGCCTATCATGTTTTAGTTGCTTAAGATACTGTAAGTTAGAAACAATTATTACTTGTTACTTTAAACCATTAGATGTAATATTTCACAATCTATTTTGAATTGTGGTTCAGCAAGAAATGGTAAAATAAGTTAAAGGGTATTTTGTAGATTTAATATTTAATAACATTTAACATACACTAATTTTAATATGCGAAATTAGCGTTTTACAGGTTAAAAGTAATTTTAAATATTAAATCTATTAAAATATTTATTTTTATAGATCATGGACAAGAATAATTTTTCATTTTTGCCACTTTCATCAAAAGAAGATTGTTTAGAAGATGTTGAAAGAAAAATTTGTAATGCAATAAATGTAAGAAGGAAATTAGATGTATTAAAAAATGTGAATGATGAAAATTTTAATCAGGTAAAATTATTTTTAATAATTTTCTGAATATAACTTAGTGGATAAATCACATTTTCATCAAAATGTTAAACACTTCACAAAATTATTATATTTAAAACAATATTTATTGAATTATAAAGTTTTTATTTAAGTAAAAAACGAAATTATGTTTTTGATAAAGCTTATTTGAATGTCTAAATTCATAACAAATAATCTAATGCTATATTTAATAGTTAGTTTACTTAATTATTGAGAGCATGAAGAATGTGCTTCAATGGAATGCAGTTTAAATTTGAGACTTTTGAAATTTATTCTATGGTTACAGTGTATCTGATACAGCAAACTAATTAAATAATACAAAATTCAAGTGAATTGTGAATGTTTTTTAGAGATAATGAGATCTAGGGCAATATTGTTTTAATGCATGGAGACAAGCAGTTAACACATACATTGCAGAACATTGCCTGTTATTTAAAAGTTTTAACTGATGAACCCCAGTTAGGTTAGACAAAAGTTCTTTCATATGGTGTTTTTAATTAAAAATATCTACTATGTTAATGTTCTTCTTTTTCTATTAACTCCAGACAAAATAATCAAACAATAATATAATCATATTTATGTATTTATTTATTTTACTAGTATTCAGTAATTTTGCAAAATTCAGAAAATAATCTACATAGTAATTTAAAATGTAGAGTTTTTGCAAAAATGTATCAGATTTATTTTTCACTCAGAATTTTCTTGCATCTATATACTGTTATATACATACTGCATATTGGAGTTATTTATGAATAAAGATTTTGAAGTAAATTGTTTTTTTAAAATTGATTGTTATGGTCTTTGTGCTAAATCATTATTCTAATCATAAATTATTAATTTATGATTATTATAATGTTTTGATTCATTTTTCAGTGTAACATCTCTAATATGGAATTAGTATCTTAAGATATTTATTAGTAATACGTGAGTAGTGCTTTAAACATGTTAGATTTTGCACTAAACTAAATTTTCATAAAACTTCACTTTGTTTTTTTCTCTACAAAGAAAAAAATTGTGAGTTTTATATCTTAATGTTAATTATTTATTAGGAAAGTAATTATTTGCCTGTAAGGTATTACTATTAAAATGCAGTAGATAAATAAACAAATAATTTTAGTTGTAAATTTAATAAAAACAAATAGGATTTTAATTGCATGTCTGGCTTAAGATTACAATTTTTAGCCAAACTTGCATAGACATAGTACATTTCTTATGCTATATGTATTTGATTTATCATTGGTAGGTGAAATGTTATCTTAAGATAATGTTTCTCAATGAGCTTTATAGTGAATGAGAGCAAACTTGTTTATTCAAAAGCAGTCTGAAATAGACCAGGAGTAGTGTTGTTAAGGGAAAGTTATACTAAGATGTAGATAGTAATCATCAAAAATATTTGCTGAACTCAATAAATTATTAGCAGTTTGATGAAATAATAAATAAATAAATTTTGAAGGAAAGCTGAAATTAAAGAAGAGGGAGGAAATTTTTCTAACAATAAATAGCTCTTTGATAAGTTATAATTTTGAGTTATCTAGTACAAGAAATTTTTTGTTAGATATTTGAATAAACTAAATGTAGATTACTATAGCTATTCTAGATGAAATTAAATGCATTTCGGTCTGAAATTTGTTGTAGGAAATAACTGATAATACTTTTAACCTTTAAAACTTGTTTATTGTGTTTCAGATAGAAAGATAAAGAAATACAACTTTTAAAAATAGAGAGAATGAATTCAATCTGATTTAGATGAGAAAGAACAAGACTAGCTGTTAAATTTTCCGTACAAATTTCACACAACTTCTAAGTGTAAACTCATTTATTTAATATTTTTTTATTCAAGTAAACATGCCTGTTATCTCAGCTTTTCCCATGGATTTTGAATATTGAAATTTTAATTTGTTTTTGTGTTTTTCATCAGGTTTAATGAAAACTGATAGTGCAATTATTTTTCTTCCTAGTCCTAGCTTTCTTATCAATCAGGTATTATTGTCATTGCTTTCAGATTTTAGCCTTTAAGACTGTCACTGTGTTTTGTTTTTACAAATTAATCTTCATATTTAGTAGTTTATTTAAACATGTTTATAAAAGTGTTATTAACTTTTTTCAATTGTAGGTAAGTAATCATTTGTAAAAATGACGAACAAAATATACTGGTATCTCAGTACTCGATTAAGAAATGTAACCCACTAGAACAAATTTTTGATTAACAACATATTTTTATTTTGTCATGCATAAAAAATTTTTATGGTGAAGATTTAAAAAATGAAGCCGTTGCCGATATTTCTGATCAAGAGCAACAAAAAAGCTCAGAACAAAACAACGATACTTTGTAAAAAGAAAGCACCCTTGTTTGACTAAAATTAATATTAACAGTACGTTTAATTGTGCTTGTTGTTTACATATTTCTCTTAATAACGAAAAAGAATAGTATACTTTTGTTAACTTTCAGAATATAACCCTATATTTTGTATTAGTCCTTTATTTAGTATAGCATGGATTCCCATAACTCAACACTTTTTCTAAATGTAAATACCTTGTTATACAAGAGATACTTGTAATTGTTTTGTTTGAAGCTTTTTGTTCATTCCTGATCATATTATAGTTTTGCATTAATTTCATATTACTATGAAATATCATTTAAATACACTAATTAATGTTATATTCATATTTGAATAATATTCATTGCATATTTGGGGAAATTTTTTTTACTACTACAGTTTGTAATTCAGAAAATAATTTACATATTGTTAACTATATTGTATATAAGTATGTAAAAGCTTGTTTCATAAATTAAAATTTTTTTAATAGGTAGAAGAAAGCATCTGTGGAAACTTTAATAAACTGAGAAAGCTTCTAAATGAAAGAGAAGATATACTACTTAAAAAATTAAAAAAGTATTTGCATCAAAATCATGCTATGATTAAAAAGGAAGAGGATAAAATCAATGACAAATTGAAATTTTTGTATAATTGTCAGAAAGGTTTAGAAAATAATGAAATAATTTCTATGGAATATGATACATTCTGTGAAGAGTAAGTTGAAAAATAAAAATGTGATAATTCTTTTTAATTTACTAAAAGCTTAAGTTATCATTCTAAAATTGTTTTATACATAAGATGGAAAAAAAAATTTGTTTTTTATAAATGCTAGTGAAATTATTGTTGTTTACCTATGGTTATTTCCAAGTATCTAAAAACTAATTCTTAGTCTGTAGAATAAGATATGCTCTAAAAATGAAAATTGATTTTTTTCTGACTTAAGATACTTTTTTATAGATTGCATCACATATATACTGTAGATAAAACATTAATATAAAATACTACTAGAAAAAATTACAAATAGACTAAGCAGATTATTCAATATATTGATATAATCTTACACAATCTGCAATCAAGAATTGTTGGTTATATGTAATATTTCCAAGATAGTGACATACATATCAGAAGTTTGTTAAACTGGTACTTACAAGGCCAGGATGGTGCCAGATTACCAGATATTTTTCTAGAATTCAATAAGTTTCATGTGATGTGAATATAAGGCAAGTATTAGCCATAGGAAAGTGCCAGTGAAATTGTTTGATTCAACACAGTGTGCTGTAATAAAATGAGTTTTTTTTTCTCAATCACATTGCTTTTCATCTCACAATCAACCTTCCAATATGTAGCCCCATGCATGGCTGCATCTTCCACCTTTGTCTCAATTTCTGTCTGTAGTCTTTATGTATTACATGACTGAAAAATTCTGATTTGTAGAAAACTAGCTTGTTATGCTGTTATTGGATATTTCTGGATTATCGGTTACTTTTTAAAGAATGTTAGATAATGACATTTTGTGTTATCAGGTGCTGAATTAACAAACTTCTATTATTTATAATGTAATAGTAATAGTTGCTAGTGATCAAAGCATATTCCTCATCTACAGTTTATCTTAGTTATATTCTCATTCAAAAGTAAGAGAGTTCATTCATTAGTACTTCTCCTAGTCCATAGTAAATAGGTGTAACATTAGTTGCATGAGATAACCCTATATTTTTCATTTTTTATATAGTAACCCAGCATAAGTTTATCTGTTTCTTAAAAGTATTATCATTATAAACGTAAAGTAAAAGTGCTCAACTGTCACAAATATACAGCTTCTTAACTATTAAATGAGTTGTTTTATATAAATATTTATTTTATTTCAGTTTTATTTTTTTTTTTTTTAAATTATTTCTTAAAGTTGAAATTTAAGACACCAAACCTTTTAATATCTAGCATAAAATGCACACAAGGTAAAGTATAAAAAATAGTTTAGAGTTTTATACATACAGTCCATTTCAAAATTATAAACACACCCAACTTTTTTCAATAACAAAAACATTAACAATTGTAATGTTTTATTTATTATACTGTATTAGTATGTTGTTTACAACATCAATTTAAACATTTTCTGAAAGTTTTAGAGCAACCTGACAATTACAAGAAAAATTATCACAGATTTTCAATTTTTGATTGTTTCAAAAGTATAAACACATGTACACAAAAAAAAACGATTTGTGATGTTTCAATATTTTGTAGTCCACCATTTGATTTAATTAGTTCAAATACTCTATCAGGCATACATTTTACTAGTTTTTGAAGTTGTTGTTGTTTAATATTTTCCCAACAATCCATGATAGCTAATTTCAGTTCATTTACAGTATTGTATTGTCTGTTTTGGTCATAAACAAGATGACTTGTAATGCCCCAAACATTCTCTATCAGATTCATATCAGGACTCCGTGATGGCCAATCGATTACATTAATTTTTTTTCAGCAAACCAATTTTTAGTTTACTTTGATGTATGAATGGCAGCATTATCCTGTTGGAATTGCCAGTTTTATCCCCCAATAAGTGATCCGAAAGTTATTAAATTTTGATACAACAGTTCTTGATACTTTTCTGAATTCAATCTACCTTCTATAAATACAATATCAGTTTTACCTCCCCATCCAAATCCTGTCTACACCATCACAGATCCTCCACCTTGCTGTCTGTGCAATCTGACTTCTTCATTCTTCTTCAAATCGTGTCAGTAGTGACTATAACTGTCAGGTCCATCCAAATTCCACTTTTTTTCATCTGAAAAGACTATTTGTTTCCACACCCCTTTCCATGTCATCTTGTCTTTGGCCCACTTTAATCTAGCTGTTTTGTGCAATTGTGTTAATTTTGGTTTGGCAGCCATTTTTGTAAATTTGGCATTTTTATGATTATGCATACATCTCCATACAGTTGCTGGTGAAACTGCAATTGGCAATGTTAATACTGCTTCTCTGACAGACAACTTGTTGACCATCAGTAGCTGAAAAACCTTTCTTTTGTTTCTAGGGGTAAGGAGTTTAGGCCTTTCACATCGCTTATTTCTGCCATAATATTCATCCTAAGTTAACACATTTCTCACAGCACACGTGGATCGATTTATAGCTGCCAAAGTTTGTCTTAGAGATTGTCCTGGTCCTTTTTGTTGGTAAATTTAATATATTTCTAACTCTGTTGGTGTTTTTCCATGAGGCATTGGTTTAAATCACAAAAACCATTTAAAATTGGCACCATGTTTTTAATAATAGTTATCACCAGAGGGAAGTATCACTCAATTAAACCAATAATTAAAAAAAAATTATTATACTAGTTTTATGCACCTGTGTTTATACTTTTAAAACACTCAAAAATTGAAAATCTGTGATCATTTTTTCTGTAATTGTCAGGTTGCTCTAAAACTTTCAGAAAATGTTTAAATTGATGTTGTAAACAACATACTAATATAATAAATACATTACTATAGTTAATGTTGTTGTTGTTGAAAAATGTTGGGTGTGTTTATAATTTTGAAACAGACTGTATTACTTATAATTCAGGTTCTAGAATTTTGAAGTTTTTTGAAACTTAATGATGGGTAATTAAATTAACTGAAGAAATTTGTTTCAGAGTACATTTTATGCTAGATAGTAAAGGTTTCCTAAGTTGTAATCATTCAGTTATTGCTTATATCAATTTAAGTTGAAAAATATATTTTAGTTTTTATTGTATTTTTCATAATATTTATATTTAGGTTTTTGTACATTTCTACCATGAGTAAATAATAATACTGTTTTAAATTTAATAATGTAATATTCTGTTTGTACATTGCTAACTTTACAGAAATTATTTTTCATTGGGGAAGTGTGCATTTCTATAGAAAGTTTGTTTATATTAAAAGTTTTCTTAGAACAATATATTAAATTTTAATGATTAAATAAATAACCATTAAATTTACAATAATTTTTTTATTTATGTAGTTCAAGAAAATAAGTTATTTCTGATGCTTTGGCCTAACTTAAATTTAATTGGCAAGTTTTGTTTTTTTCTTATATCACATTGTTTAACGTACAAAAAAAATTTTATTTCACTTGGTTGCTTATGTCAGTTTTAAATTAATTCATTTTCATATTCTGAAGATATTATTCTGTTTGTACATTGGCTGTTCTATGTGAATCATTAAAATTTAAGATTGTTCCAAGAAAAATTTGAATGCTGTTATCAGGGATGCACAACCTTTTTTGAAGAAGGGCCAAATTAGGATTAAGTTTATTGACTGGGGGCCGAACCTTCAAGTGATTAATGCGATGNAGCAGTGAAAGAGAAAAAAGTTGCATATATGGGCCGACTGAAAGGCAGCATGAATGAGGAAGAAGTTTGAAAGCCTGTTGAGTGATAGTGGAGGTAGCAAGAATGGAAAGAAGTTGTAAAGATAAATGAAAGTAGCAATCAATGTGGTCCTATTCAACAGAGTGAGGTTAGGAATGCAATAAAAAGGACGTGAAATGGCAAATTTCCTGGTATGGATGGTGTGACTAGAAATGTTAAAATACAAAAAAATGGATGTTCCAACTCTGCAACCCATGTTGGGATAAAAGCATGGTGCCATGAGATTGGAGAAATGCCACAGTTGTTCCAATATACAAGGGAAAAAGTGAAGGACAGACTGAAAGAACTTCTACAGTCAAAGCTTGCAAAGTATACCCAGATAAGTGTTTGTACAAAAGTTGATTGACAGAGAACACCTTGGAAGAGGCACCTGTGGCAAATCACCACAAAATTCTGATAATGTCTTGTGTAAGACATTGTACATAAGTGATGCAGTGGTGTTCTTCAGTATTCTCCATTCATACCATTTGATATGTAGATGGTGATCTACATATCAAATGGTATTTACTGTGTTTATTCATTTTATTGTTTTTCAGCTTTGAATCAGGTGATAATGTATCTGTGGTGTGCTTGATCCTATTCTCCTTGTTATATAATTTTTGCATACTTCTTAATCTATTTTTTAAAATGTATTTGAAAGACTTGTTTGTATTTTGAATATTTATTACATATACAAAGGTCTGTCCCAAAAGTAAGTGTACTGATTTTTTTATTTAATGACAGTAAAGCTTAACATATTATTAATTTGTATTTTCATGTTGCTAGATATCTTAGCAGCATATATACATCTGATTCAAGTTGATTGGTTAAGTCAAATGTGCACAATCTCTGTTTGTGTAAGATAGTGTTTTAACACATCACTACATTTGAAATGGAGAAAAATCTCAAAAACGTTACGCTATCGTGCAAAACTCAAGAAAGTTGCAACCGAGACATTTGCAGATTTAATCAAAGCTTACGAAGATGCCACTTTATCGAGAAACGCAGCGTTTAGACAGCATAAAGATCCAGCGTAAAGATGACGCTTATCATTTTTTTCGACAGCCGCGGAATAGCGCACGTAGAATTTTTACCCTCAGAACATTTAGTTAATCGATCCTTCTACAAAGACGTCTCGGAACAACTTCGAAAACGGTCAAGCAAGTCCAAGGGGGCATTGCAGAAGATCGGATGCCACGCCGCACTCGCGGCACTATCGATTCAAGCGTTTTTGGCCAAGAAAAAATCTCCACGCTCTCGCAACATACTTAGAACCGCAGACGCCGGCATCCTATCCAGAAAGAGGCAGGCAAGGAGCAAACGCCGCCGCGAAAGAGAATAAAACCAA